CCGCGGCTGGCTGCGAGGCCATCGCGGGCGAGGGTTCTAGTTGTGTGGGATGGGTTTAGCAGTGTTAGTGTTGATATGGCGGACCCAGCGCAGCACTAACAGTGGGTGCTGGTGGATTGGTATGTAGGAGGGAGTTTTTGAGATCAGCTACGAGGTCAGCCGTACGTCAACGAAATCGGCGAAGATGACCCCATAGGAAAATAATTTTCGTCTTCGATCACTTTAAACATCGAGAAGAAATGATGCTTCGTGTTATATATCACATGCAAGGGTCTGTTGGCGTTTCTTTATTTGACCTCGTGCGCGAGTTTCTCAACTTTTCGTATAACAGGAATTGCGTCCAGGTGGGCCATGATGTGGCACCGAAAGAACATGAAGTATTCTTCTCAGCTTGGCAATCCAGCATATTCAATTCAATTCTTATCGGAATTGAATAGCTTCCCGCTGAAACTGTTACGGAACAAATGCGGTGGAAGTTTGGAGCACCCGGAAACGTTTGACGTTGCCGTCCTACAGTAGGGGTCAACTCCGTGAAAGACAACGACGAATCCGTCAGCCGTTTAGTGTTCACTCGCTTCGAAGATAAAGGAAGCTTCTACTCATCACACACATTGCTCCAAAGTTTATAGTCGTGACATGTGCCATACACTGATGGAGCTCACTCAACCTTGCTATCCGACTTGAAGTTACATTACTTCACCCAAGCGGGGCCAGCTTTGTTTCGTTTCTTTTCCTTTTCTTTCAAACAGGTAGTTCTTAATGTCCTGAGATGGTAACAAACATCCCTTTGGAACAGCACACCCTAGGGATTGCTTAGTTAATTTGAAATCTGAATGCAGCAGCGTCTTCCCTAAATCTCTGGACGCAGTTCTATCGCACAATTGAAAGAAACCTTAAGTGATCGACATGATGAAAATAATCATGTCACGTCTGAATTATTCAATGTGACCAAACATATCATAGAAATGCTACTTTTGAATCAATGTGTGCTTGCGTACGGGTATATGTACTTTTTGATGACCGAAAGATTATTACTATGAGAAAAATATTACTAAAAGTAGAAGATAATTACTATTATGAAGTTCCACGACCAGAAGGCCTAAAATGCAAGTACTTTTCCATCCTTTTATAGCCTCCACCCATCTACCCCCTCCATTCCTTCACAGACCCCAGGGCACACAAAGACCGGTGTTCGGGTCCGGAGCCATCTTGACACCATCCTTCTGACACTGGACGTCCTTCTTGCCCCAGCACTGGGCGCCCTTGAAGTTGTCCCACTCAAGAAACTCAGCATGGTAATCCTTCTTGGCGCTGACGTTGTTCCAGGCTCGCCAAACCATCAGAGTGCCCTGGTAGAGCTTACGGCCATCAGGGCAAGTCTTGCCATTGGTGCCGTTGGGGAGCTCGAGAAGACTGCCCTCATCCCATCCGGCGCAGTCAGGGCCCACGATCAGGCTGACTCCTCCAGACGCCACGGCGAGGGCGTCGTCGGGGTTCTCGGCGCAGACGGTTGTGTCGCACTTGACCTGGAGACACATGTTGCTGCCGTAGTTGTCGCTGAAGGCTCCACGCGGAGCGATGTCTTGAACAGTATCGATGGCGGCAGCTGCGCAGAGCTGGGCGAGCGCCAGGTAGGACAAGACTTGCCTGTATTACATTAGACATCATGGAAACAGAGGAATGAGGTGCTGGAAAGCTTTGGAATGCAACTCACAACTTGGAGAACAACATCTTGCTGAGCTTGGTGGGGATGGCGATGGCGTTGATTCGCTCTGAGGATCTGCCGGTTGGTAGCGATGAGTTTCTAGGATGCTGGCTTCAAACTTGCATCAAGAAGTTGTCTTTTCGGGAGTATTTAAGTCATGATCTTTCAAGAGACGATAGCCTCAGAAACTCAGTTGGCCGAAACTACCCGAGCCATTTTCGCCTTCATCAAGACCTTCATCAAGACGTGGGACCGGACTGACACACGCATACAACTCTCGTATATGATGGTTTATTGCAAAAGATCATTCAGACATCAGAAAAAAGTTTTACACGAAAGATCAACAGAGTGTTTCAGCGGGATGTCCTGCGCGGGATAATGTTTCTAACGGCTAAATGCTACATCGCTAACTAAAGAGTGGCTACGACAGGAAATTACCGAAGGCTACTTTTCAAAGGTTATGACAGCCCTATTCAACAAGGAGCCAATGCTACACCTGATCTGACAAGTATGCTTGACCCACTGCGCGACGATCAGATCACTTGGGCCGGCCTCGGGAGGAGCCTCACATACAAAAACACCTTGATGGCCAGCGGACCACCTTGAGGGTCGAGAACCAGATCTTTACATATTAAGAGCCCCACATGCAAGAGCCTCAAAAGACCCAAGTCCTAATAAACTTGCTCAAAGTATACATGCAGAATCCTTCCCTCCATCCTGAAACAACACGGCAAAATGAAAACAACCCGAAGCTCGGGCTAAGCTTGACATCATTGCCGTGTCTTGTTCCCGCCGCAATGCTACCTAGGGATCCCACAACAGCTGACATGTAAATAAGTGTGTCATTGTTTCATACATTAGACTTTCGTACAAACAGCTGTCAAAAGCCGACAATTGCTGGCGATCAACAAAAGTGGGAAGAAGACTCAAGGTTACAGGGAAGCGGGTATACTTAGTCAAGTTGGTGCAGGCTCGGCAAACCTCACTTTCTGAATCAGAATCGGCAGGTAGATCCGCAACGAAAAGTCTGCCCCAATATAGTGAGTTGTCAGAGGCCGCACGTGCAGTATGTCTCTTTTGGGATGCGGCTCCGCAGAAACTGATGTCGCGCATGAAGACATGACGCGCATTTGGGTGAGGGCTCCCCTGAAGCGGGGGCAGACACCTTCATCTCTCAACTCAGGTCAACTCAGCGCAACTCGTCTTAATTCAGGTTGACGAACGATTCTCTTTTCAAGAAAAGGGAAATAAGTCGCCTTTCTTGGTTTAACCTTACGAAATTCGGAATAGAGGCCTTTCCGGAAAAGCAGTTATCTGATCATCTAAAGTTTTCGGGTGACCCACATGGTAATGTTATCTGATCGACGAAACTTTTCGGGTGCTCCGTGAACCCAACTATATGTGCTCAACTAAGGTTTTTTAGGTGCTCCGCATCGTGAGAATTGCATCCGTCGGCACGATATTATTCTCGTCGATACTACGGTACTTACCGCCGTGAGGCTCGGACGAGAGTCAACATCGCCGAGCTTGGATTTTGGCACGTCGATGGAATACTGAAGAAATGATTATAAGTAATACACGATAACTTCACGATAATGTCTTCTTTTATTCTCTACATCGGCACACAAGTCAAGACTTAGACAGCCGCACTGTCCTTTCCGGCCTATTTCTTTGCAACTGGCACGATGTTCTTCTCTAGTTTCACTCTTTTGCTGGCCTCGGCTTCGGCAGCGACAGCCCAGGCTCTGGTGCCTGCCGCGCCTCCTGCGTCCATCGGCAAGGTCGACTGGAGAGCAGTCAACTGCAGCGGTGTCATTGTCGACGCGAAGGCGTTGCCCGACAAGCGATGGGAGGCGGCTGGTGCATCAGATGCCCTCCAGGAGGTCTTCGCTGCGTGGCGCAACTACACCACCGGACCTGACGAAGTCAAGTTCCAGTTCAGCGAGTTCGTCTCTTGGTACTTTGGCGGTCCGGAGGAATGGCACTGCAAGGAGATCTTCGACGTGCCTTGCTCGACCACGCTTGTTTGTGAGGATACCAAGTATCCCGCTGGACATCTCATCCTCAACTCGTTCTCCAAGCTTCACCGGGTTAGTTGCACAGTTCCTTCCTACTCCTCTTTCTTGTAACTTTCCTCCTTCTGGTTACATACTGACAAACATATCAACAGTTCCACCACCGCTATTTTGAGGCTCTCAGTCTGGCCCAGCAGGACATTCAGTCCGAAATGGACCTTTTTGCCGAGTCTTTCTCCGTGCCACCTCCCAGGGACGAGTCCAAGGACCAGACCAAGAGAATTCTCCTCAACGTTGCTTACGGTGTGATTGGTATTGCACAGGCCTACATGAACAACTTTTGTAAGTTCGCAGCCCCACAGAGCTAACCCACACTTGACGAATCATGTCTCTGACTTGAGTGCTCAGTCATCTTTGCAAAGCCTGTCGAGCAAGCCGCTGGACAGATGATCTCCCAGGTCTGGCGTTCGCAGTTGACGACCACTCTCAGTTACAGTATCTTCACTGGTTGGGCCATCGGAAAGGACTACATGCTTCCGTAAGCGACCCTCTTTCTTCAGACCTTCAGAATGGGTTGCTGACCAGACGCGACAAACAGAGGCAAGGACCCCAAGGTTCAGTATGGATCTCTCGGTGCCATGATGGGCGACGTCTTCGACAGCTGGAAGGCCACCCAGACCGCCTACGTCGACAACATCTTCTCTCCCAACAACACCGAGACCGAGAACTTCCTCATCGCGGCTTTGGACAACGGCCTCATGGGTGCCACCCCGGATGACCTCAACGCCTACGAGATGTCCAGGATGGTTCAGAAGCTGTTCTACCCCCGCTTCATGGTGTCCATCTGGCAGACTCGCAAGTGGTCCAAGAGACCCTTCGTCCTGTAAGTCACACACACACTAAACAACGCCTTCGCCTCACCTTCTTACACATTTCTACAGGAAGACCAACTTGCCTTGCAAGATGGCCACGGGCGAGAGAGACTCTTCCCTCTGGCCCTTCCTGCCTGACAGCGACCACGCCAGAGCCGCCGCCTGCTACGAAGACAGACTCTTCTACCTCGTCGACATCAGAAGCGAGGGCGTCAAGCTGACCACCGAGTACCCCTCCATCCGCCCCAACATCTTCAAGAGCAAGCACTGGCCCCTGACGGCGCTCTTCGGCACAGAGACCATGGACGGCTCCCGCTACGGCGGCGTCACGAAGGAGGACATCGTCGCTGCTGCCTACGGTGGCTGGGTCGAGGGCGGCTACAAGAACAACGTCTACCAGCCCAACTACACCGACGTTTCGCCCCAGGCCCAGGCCAAGCTGTGGTCGGACCAGGGCAACCGCAGCCCTGGCTTCGTCAACATGACCTTGTGCCAGAACATCTACACCATTGTCGGCAACGTCGTGCATGGCAAGCCCGAGCAGAACCCCTCGTGGCCCTGCGCGCCTCTCTCCGAGATCAAGCCGCTGCCCCCTGCTTGATCTAGTGGGATGTATTGAAAATTGCCTCTTTATTCTTGAGGTGGAAGGGTGGTAATGACCTAGAAAAGGATGAAAAATGTTTGGAAAAAGTCACTCGTTCAAATTCAGCTATCTACCTGAAATGTCTCTCTTAGATTCTACTGCAGTCTAATCATAATGTAATATTTCTTTGCGTGTATTACATTCTGTCGATGGCAACTCTTTGAAATCCTGCTTTCAATTTCGACACAGTTTTCAGCCTTTCAATTCTTCGCTCGAGAATCAAAGCTTTGCAATTAAAGCGGGAACTTCTTCTACAAAGCGATTGTCGTGCATCGTCGGGTTTCAAAAGTGATGTGTTTCGTTGACAGTCGGTCCTCGATAATTTTACCCGCACTTATGAATGCAGTCGACCTAGTTAGTGTGGCATTGTTATCTAGGTAGAACTTGGCTTGGCCATGGGACGAGAACTTACCATTATACTGTAACATTTACCATTACAGAGGATATAATTGCCCCCATTGTAAACGCAGCCCTTGATGCACTCTCGCAATAATCGTGGGCAGTGGGTGCTGCACATGACGGCGCTGACCATTGGCAAGATGATCAGTGCAAATGCAACGAAAAATGAGATGTGCTTCGGTGTTGTAAGCCCCGAAGTTAACATGATGGAAGAGTGAAAACGATTATGGTGAGCTGTTAGAACTGGAGGATTGCATGGAACGGACCAGACTTGACACCCACGGTCACGGAAATGACTGCTTTATATTGCTAAATATAAATGTCCTATCACTTGTATTTAGAGTACTTGTTTACATAGTTCTATGATTTTGTCATATATTCCAGACCGGTCTCGACCCGATCTCGAATGATCTGATGAAATACTTGATAGACGCGCAATGTCAATGTGTCCCGTCTTTGTCTTGAGAACTGTCAAGATTTTAAATCACAATTCATGTTGACTTGAATTTTATACCACGGGGATCAAATATGGTGAATATTGAAGTAAATATAACCTTTTGATGCCCATCCTCTGCACACGTGGTTTTGTCAACACCTCTGTAGTCGGTTCGCAAGGTTCGTATGCCATGTTGACAGTGCCCTGAGAGATGAGAGACACAAAATCTGGCAACATGGTCTTGAAAGTGACAAGACATGAGTGAAGCACGTGCAATTTTCAAGTTGAATTGCCAGGCTGTGATGCTATTCCTTCCTTCCGTTCCGGCATCGGTCAAACTCGTGCCTCATACCTTTCTTGTCAAAGCCAGGCAGGCTTCAGCAACCCTACATAAGTCACTCTCTTTTGTTTTCCGAATAGGCCGCTTAACCTGTGCTACAACAGACGATACTACTGACAAACATTGAACATTTCGTCTGACTATGCTTTTCGTGTTGATGACAATCAATTTTGTCTCCATTAATTTCGTCCTTACAACCTTGTTTTATTCGGTCTGCTGCCAGTGTTGACAAGTCAAATCTGATTGGAAAATAATCTTAAGTAATCTAAAGCGCCATGAAAACAAATGGCACAACTCGCCATAGGTTTGGTTGTACTGAGATTTGTTTGGCCCGGTGCCAGGCCGGGAAACGCAGGTCAGACGGGACCTCTTCCGGGCCAGGGTCCGACCGGGCTCCGTGGATGGCCCCGGACGACCCACACAGACTCCGTAGCAAACCCGGTCGACGCGATCCAGACCCGATACAGCCTTTATTGGTGGCTTTGTCCGAACTGGAAATAGCCACGTTCTCCATATCAATGAAGCATCAAACTTTTCTTATAGTTGACATGTCAAATAGTTACATAGCTAGCAGGTCCTGTTTCATCTAGGCCGTGCTGGCGGTGTGAACGACACGATCGAGCAAAACGCGTCCGTCAATCTCAATACAACCAAACCATGCAACCCAACACACCCCAACAACCGAGGTATCCGACATTGGAAGCATCAATAATCCCTCCGTCCCTCCGTTGGCACAGATCCGAGCCCGCTTATCTACGTAGCCAAGACCACTACAGAGTGTTTTGCCATCCCGTCGCGCCAAAAAAAAGTAAATCGCGTCGCGCCAAATTTTCAGAAGGCTAATTTATTCTGAGCCGAGGTCCAGCATAGCTTGCTCACTAGAAAAGTGCCAATTGGCTTGGGCAGGCACGCAGCGATTAAACGCCGAACCCCGTCCGCGGGTGGGCCCCCACGCCTGGGAAGGGGTGCCTTTCCTCATCCCTGTCCCGGTATCGTCACCGCATCCCGTCCCAACGCAAACACACACAACCGCAACCCCGTTGGGGGGGACAAGACAGCACACGCAAAGTGGACCTTTCAATATCGGCACCAAAGGCCTGGGTAACACTATCTTTAGCGTATCGCAGCAGGACCACCCAGCAAAAAGATAATTTACCAGATTAAAAAAGTAGCCAGCCCACCCACCCCCAGATGCCTCCCCCTTCCTCCGTACTCGCTCAATGCTCCAGCACACTCTGGTGCATCATCCGCTCCCTACCCCTCTGGACCGTCGTCCTCGTCGTCCTCCTCCTCGGCGCTGCCCGCCAGCTCGTGTTCCCGAGCACCAAGTCCGACGATAAGAAGAAGCGAGCGCCGCCGCCGCCCTCACCGCGACCGCACCGCAAGACTCCCTGAGCAGGAGAGATCACGAAAAAAACTCGAAAAAATGGCGTCCGCAATCGCCAAAGCAACCCGCACCGAGGCGGACATGGACCGCGTCCCGGTTCGCGTGGTCCGCTTCATCCGCCTCGCGACGGCCGGCGGCCTCGCCTACGCCGCGTACAGGATTCACTGGCGCATGCTGCTGGCGAGCTTCTTCACCGGCCCGGGCAAGATCAGCCGGATCCTCATGCTCATCTTTGCGCTGCTGAACCTCAAGAACATGCCCTTCGTCTGGACCGTACGTTTCCCCCATCCCATCAAAAGCTCGAGAAGAACACCAATCGCTAACAACAACCCGCATCATAGTACCGCGTATGGCACGCAATCCTCTACCACCTCTTCATCCGCAAATCCCCCCGCCTCGGCCCGCGCTCCCTCTTCCGCCCCATGATCTCCCAGTCCCACGCCCCCATCATGGAGATCGACTACAACGTCCACAAGTCCAACTCGACCTACTTCTCCGACCTCGACGTCTCCCGCACCCACCTATGCACCTACCTCCTGCGCCCGGGCTTCCGCCAGCTCACCCACAACGCGACGACCAACCTCGTCCTCGACCCGCGCTCCGGCAAGCCCGCCAAGGGCTCCCTCGGCATCATGCTCGGCGCCGTGCACTGCTCCTTCCGCCGCGAGATCACCGCCTACGCGCCCTACGAGATGTGGTCGCGCGTCCTCGCCTGGGACCGCAAGTGGCTGTACATCGTCACGCACTTCGTGCCCAAGGGCACCGCGCGCCCGACCGAGTGGCTCGACCCCAAGTTCGGCGGCGCGCGCGTGCGCCGCGGCCCCGGGAGCAACACGGATAGCAAGGAGTGGGAGAAGAAGATCTACGCGACGGGCGTGAGCAAGTACGTCTTCAAGCTGGGACGCCTGACGGTCCACCCGGCTGTTGCACTGGAGGCGAGCGAGCTGTTGCCGCAGAGGCCTGGAGGCTGGCAAGGCGGGGAGAACGGTGTTGGGGACGAAAGTGTCGATTTGAGCGAGGTGCAGAACGATAATACGTGGGACTGGAAGATGGTCGAGAAGAGGAGGCGCGAGGGTATGGTTTATGCGCAGCAGTTTGCCAATATGGACGATCTGCATGGCTGGCTTGACGGCGCTGACGGTGGTGATGGAAGCGCGTTGGGCGTTTTTGGACTTGGTTAGAGGTGGGAGAGTGATGATACCCGATAGAATAGAGTGGGGGGAGAGACCTGGAGAACACGACACAAAGCAGATCCCACTTTGAAAGGTGCAGACCAGAAAGACATCCTTAGACTTCGTCATAGATCTTATAATAGAGATAGATAGATTTAAGTGTACAGTTACACGTCGCATTGATTGCTTAAATGACTAGATTTGTTTTCCCGCCCAACTCCGCGAACAAAATCCTCTGTGTATCCGTCTCGCCCCCTACACAGGCTTGAAGAAGAACGGCCCAAAGGCCAAGATATCCAGGCAACATCTCAAAGAAACTTCTTAAAGGGCCAGAGCGGCAGCGGCAGCGAGGGCTCCGGCCCAGCCAGCGACGTGCATAGTGGGGGCGGCGGCAGGAGATGAAGTGCTCGCGGCCGCGGCTCCGGTGGAGGCTGCGGTGTTGGAACTGGTGCCGGAAGCGGTACCAGTGGAAGTGCCGGTAAGAGCGGTGATGGAGCCAGTTGCTGAGACACCCGAGGAGACCTGGGAGCAGATCTGCTGGGCCGTCAAAAGAACCTCTGTTTTCTGCTGTTAGTCTACGTTCCCAACCTCTGTTTCGATGCGTTGATAGGAACATACTGGTCTGATCATCCGCACTGCAGCTTGACTTGGACAGACAGTTGACGACGACGGGCGTCAGCTGGTCCTGCTTGGCGCAGGAGCAGGCAAAGTCTGAGATATCGCAGTTGACGGACGTGGCAGCGTCACGGATACATGTGACGGCGCAGGTAGGAATGTCTGCAACGAGCTCGTCGACGGTCTTGGCGGCCGCGAAGGCAGCGAGAAACGCGGTGATGATGGTGTACTTCATCTTGACGACCGTGTTATGAATTGACGATAGACGTGCCGTGAATCGGGTTCGAGTCGTTCGCTAGAGCTGATGAATGGCTGTGTGGTTGAGCGAGCGTAGAGACGAGTGATGCAGATGCGTAGGTGTTGCTTGATGTATTCCTCCAGTCGAGACAGAGCTGGGAACGAGGGGGCTTTATTAAAGGCGTGGACGGATTTCGCCAAGACTGCAGACACAGCCAGCCATTTGATCATGGAAACGGGAAAGGTCTAGAGAAGCGACTCATTGAGAGAGCATCCATCGCACAGCCGGATACCTGGCTAGTTCCCCTGCGCCAGTGTGTCGCACCCCGGATTAGGCCACGAGCCGCTTCGACGGATGGGATAGTGATAGGCAGCTTCCTCTCAGGCGAATGGAGAGCTCCCATGTTTGTCAAGCTGCATGACATGCTGTCTCTAGCTGCCACTCGCGGCGAGTCCCAGCTATGATCGGCCACTACGGCACGCTTGGCACGAAGCGTCTGTCATTTTGGCGAAATAGGCCGCTTGGACTGGTTCGCCGTAGTTGTTTGGCTCGTCGAAGTGGCGTTGAGGCTAACCCTCAGAGTCGTGGTCTGATTCGAACAAAGAGGCACTAGAGGGGCCTCTAGGTGAGTCGGGAGCATCCATTCTGAATCCCCGAGCTGGTGAGAATCCTCCGAAAGCGTCAGGGCGCTGGCCTGAAGGGGAGATCCCGGCAACTCATCAGGAATTCTGCAGAAATACCCCTTTTCTCCGGAACCCGATCAGACTTTGCTGGTGATCCGTTGTAGCGACGGTCTGTCTTTCTTCCATTGAGACCGTCTTCAATGCGTACACATGGATGTTGACGTCGATGATCCAGGGTCGCGACTGGGTGCAACATGAAGGAATGCTGGAAGCTCAAGGCACATCGATTAAGCTCATCCGCCCCTGGCCATCTGCTGCAGGACACAATGGGTGGAGAATTGGCGTCTAACCAATTAGAAAACCCCGTCTTCTGGCGCACGGAACGCAGAGCGAGCTCCTGCATTAGCCTGTCCGTCGCTCGTCGTGGTGTGTGGTCTGTGTTCTTCCCGTCGTGCCGTCCAAAATGCTGAAGACCAGACGAAAAGTCGCAGTAAATATACTAAATCGTCCCCGTATGAGGCAGATTGAAGCCTCTGGCAATCCTGCCGCACGATGTGAATGCGAGCAACCGCTGATATCCAACTTCCAGCTCCATCCCGCCTTGTAGTGAAGGCCATAATGATCGAGAGGCGATACTGTTGACGTCTCGTCTCGAGTTGGATGCTTGGTCTGGATCCATCGAGTAGAGAAGCGCCAATAGCTTGCCGCCACAGCCAGGACCAAGCCCCCTTGGCCTGTTGACCTAGAAGATTGGTTTGCTGAACCTCTTGGTCAGTTTTGTGGACTCAAGCGCTCTGCCACCATCCGTCAACTCGCCTAGAACACACGCTATTGTGGATGAGTTGCATCAGTGGTACTTTGCCATCGTATCCGTCTCAGCGGCAGGCGGATGGCCGTGTCACGCTGTGGTACACATGTCAATCCACCTCAGGCGTCTGGCCCAGCCGGCACTGAACACTGCACGAGGCGTGGCATGCTGGTCACCTCGAAACGTGATGGTGAGGCACTGGAATTGCCCGTCAACCGAAACGAGCAGGGCCATGATAGGAATGGGGTACCCCAAGCAAACTATGTACTGCTGTTTTGACGATAGTTGCGAAGAATTCTCATGCCAACGGGAGGCACCTTAACCAGCCTGTCGGGGCGGGACGTTTAGGGCAACCCGCTTCAGGCGCAGTGCAAGTCTAATCCCGCCGGTTGCCCTGAATGTCATGGCAAAAACGCAAACGGAATGCTGAGGCAAGGTGAACGAATGAGAAAGGCCAACGCGAGACATTCATTATCACGTGGATTGATCCGAATCCGAGCTGCCGCCACTAGTCTCAAGGCCCCGGCCGCTTCTTGAATGGCCTCGCGTCGCTTCGGCGAGCTTGTCTCAGGCACGATCTTGCTCCGTCTGTCTGTTGGATACCAAATCGTGAACATCTCTGTTCTGCAGGTTGTTGTCAACAACGGCGCATCCAGCCGCTAGCGACAGATACCACTCATCAACAGGCACATCATCGCCGACGGGGCTGGGATCCTGTTTGTACTGAAGTGCGGAATGCATCGGCTCTCATCTCGAGAGCGCAACATGATGGACAAGAACGCCAAGGGGACCCCAGATGATCTGCTCGACTCTTTGTCGTCCAATGCTGCATGCGGCCGCAATTTGATCGATGGAAAGTAACGACAATGCGCCTCTTCAATTGTAGTCGATACGTGGTCCAGACCTCCCGTTGAGATCGCGATTTTTTAGTGTAGAAGCCGCCGCCGAAATCCAGGACCGCGGTTCCCCATCGTCATAAATGTGGCACGCTTGAAGGCTTTCTCCGACATTCATTCCGCTTCGTTGTTAGACCCAATTCAGGCCAAGGCCTCCGATGTGATCCACGTTGACGGAGGGGCCATCGATGGAGCCAAAAGTGCCAGTTGTCAGTCTTGACGTTGGGCAGTAGTCAGTCGCAGGGTTGAGAGGCGCCTGCCTGCCAGAGGCGCGAGCGAAGCCATTTCGAGTCTGGGTAGGATGAAGGTTTAACTGATTTTGACTTCAGTGGAAGATTGACGCCATTGAACCGCTCCCGATCCCAAGGCCCAGTTCGTTGGTTGAAATGCCAATTCCCAGGGTTGTTGTAATGAGGTTGGCGCGGTTGGTGGAAGCAGAGAGAGGACGGGGAGCAGCTTGACAGCTCACGTGCAGGGAAGGACCCCCCACAGTGTCAGTCCGTGCGCCGATCGTTCGTCTTCCACGGTGCTCACGGTGCAGAAAGATGCCCCTCCATTGCAAATGACCTAGCAGCGGCCGTCGCGGGGCAGCCGTCCGGGCTCAACACGCCAAACCGCCAGCCTTCTTCCACAACGCGACAACTACACACCGCAACAAGACGAGACCAGCCTCACATCGCAACCATGCCGGATCAACCGGTCTCCGTTCTCTTCGTCTGCCTCGGCAACATCTGCCGCTCAACAATGGCCGAGGGTATCTTCCGCCACATTACCCAGAAGCCGCCGTACAAGGGACTCATCTCAAAGGTGGATTCTTGCGGTACAGGTACGCGCCATACGTCATGACAAAAACAACCCGACTCTCGGACAGCACCGCTGACAAGAACGAACGAAATGAACAGCGGCGTACCACGTTGGCGATCCCCCAGACGAGCGCACGATGATGACACTTGAAGACAATGGAATCATGGACTACCGTCATTCCAGTCGCAAGGTACGTCCGTTTTACTTTGCGATAGCGCTTGCGAAAACCGGATAGCCGCTGACTGCCCCATGATTACCAACAGGTCTCGCCTGCCGACTTTGACAAGTTCGATTACATCTTCGCCATGGACAGATCAAACCTCCAGGATCTCCAGAGGCTACAGCAGCGTGCCCACTCGGACTCCAGGGCGAAGGTGATGCTGTTTGGCGAGTTCTCCGGAAAGCAGAGACCAGAGACCGTGTCGGACCCATACTATGGTGGCGACGAGGGATTTACAAAAGCCTACGAGCAATGCACGCGATTTACAGGCAACTTCCTTAAGCACCTCTTCCCCGACATCGACCCGAAGGCATAAGGAGCGCCTGCTGCTTCTTGGGAGGGGGCTGTTTACGAGCCATTGGAGAAGACCTCGGGGGAGCTCACGGGATTCCTCGGGGATGCGTGACAATACCCGCGGCAGGCTGCAGCCCGTTGCTTCGTCGCCGCAAGAAGGAAAAGAAAAACTTTGACGCTGGTGGACGAATTGTCAACGGCTGCAGCGCGAAGTCCGGCAACGCGACTGGACAGGGGGCAATTGAGCGGGCCAACAGGATACCATACCATAGCCAGGGTTGGCCGCATGGTGAAATGAGCATCGCTGCACTGCAGATTTTACATACAGGCAAAGCATGGGGCATTTGAGAGCGTGTCTGGTTTGATTCCACAGCAACATGCATATAGAAAGATTACATTTCCACATACCATCCAACAGCCGATGCAGCGGACAGACGTAAGATGAAGATGCCCGTTGCAGACATGCGAAGAGGGACATGTACCTAAGCGAGATGGGATCGGGAGGACGGCTACTTAGCGTCCGTTCTGCAGCGGCGCCTATCACGGGATAGAGGACGGGTCTGCATAATGTTGATGGGCGCTTGACAGGAGCTCACTGTGACGAGGGCAAGCAATCTGGCCATCTGGCAATCTGACGCCCCCCCAAGATTCTTCAGGTTCTTCAGCCCTACGGACACATGGGGGTTTAGGGCCTTGTCATGGCCGCGGTGGCCCGGCCTAGTGTGGTGGTAGCGGCTGGCGGCTGACAGGCTTGACGTCGAGCTGAGATGTCACTTTGGCGAGTAGCATGGACGAACATGTGGAGGATTCATCGGTGAAAGGCAACTTTGCTGACGGCAGATTTCTCTGCACCGGACGAGTGCGAATGGACAGGCTTCGGGGCTGCAAGCTGACACCTTCGCTTATGGGAATGGTGCTCTGACTAAGGCCCGGGTTTCCAAAGCCAAGATGGGCTACTCGTGAACCTCAGTGTCTTTAGTGCACCAAAGTTTGAGGCTGGAATTCCGAAGTCTTACCTAGGCGCGGCAGTTGACTTGGGCCCAGCAGCTTTCACTCCGGATACATCCATCGTACCTGACGCGAGGTACGAAATAGACGAGACGACGGCGGTGAAGAGTAGAAAAAAACGAAATTGCGCTCTTCAGATCCCAAACCTTGTTCTCCATCAACAGCCTTGATTCAGAGCTGTTTCTGAATGCGAGGCGACTCCTTGGGATCCATATTCAATTCCTCTCTCCTGGAAATTTCAGTGATTGTCGCGCGGTTGCAGAGCTGCACCTCCAGTCACGATCCTCAGCGGTTACTGGCCCGAGGCAGCTGGAGCTCATTCGAGGCGGGCCAATGAGAAGCTGCCAATAGCTGATGGCAGCAAATCAAGTGCGGGCCCGGGGGTCAGAAGTGGGGTCATTCCCGCCAAGTCTGCTCTGGGCCTAACGTCAGCAAAGTGGTACCTCGTTGTACCTTGCACCTTGCACCTTGCACATTACCTTGCACCCGACGAAGAGATCTGGGCCATATTGCAGCCCCCAATTCCCATGGAACAGAAAAGTTAGAGAGAGGTCCAGCCAGAAGAGAGGGCGCTGTCGAGGCCTGGACTGGGCAAGTTTTGGCGCTTTTTGTCGAGTGTAAATGACCTCGTAAGGCGGGCGGGGGTCACTGTACCCAATGTCGGTGCGACAATGCAGATATCAACTCCGTATGCCCCCTTTCGCTTTCCCGTTTGCGGTGGGATAAGGTGGCTCCTTCGTACAACGAGCCCCTCCTTGGACCTGCCAGGCAGGCAGGTACGGACAGCTATTCGGTGAAGCCAATGCTGAGTGTGGTGTCCCCCCCCAAATTGTCTCCTCCTGTTGCTCCTCCTCCTCGGCTCGTGCCTTTGACACCCAGCTCTTTTATCGCCTTTTCCTGCCTCTTGTGTGTGTCGTGCTCCATCCCGTAAGCCATCCATACCTTACGGTACCTGTCTCTGTGTCTGCTACCTTACCTCCCCGGTCATCCCATCCTGCCCATCCCATTCCGCTCTGTCCTAGCTCCTAGTCCTAGGTATCTGTCCTGTCCATCCTCCTCCACCAGCTACCAAGTACCTTACCTCCCGCGCCTATTTACCTACCTGCCTGCTACGTACTACATCAACTCTCTCATAAGGTATCCTATCCTACCTTACTGCTCAATATCTTTCTCTTCCTCCCCTCGCTTTCCATCTCTTCCCTACCTATCTTACCTCCGTCTACCTCACCTCTCCCGACGCCCGCCCGCCCGCAACCTTGCAACCTTCCCGGAAACAAAAGGGGAGACAAAGACGAGAACAACCCGCCTCCCGCGTCCTGGCACTGCATTGTCGATACCACAGGAACCTGCTGTGTCCAGCAAATCATTATATAATACCTCCCGCCTGATCGCCGCCGCCCACTTCCCTCGTGGACTCGGCTCTGTCTGACGGGCCATTTTTCTCTTCGCAGCTCTCGCTACCCTGTCTGTCCCGCAACTGTCGCATCGCATCGCATTCCTTGCTCGCTTCCCCACCCACCTTTGCCTCGATTGACTCGCAAAAGATACCCCTCGATTCTCGACACCATTCGACCAAGCAACATCTCCAACCGCTGAAAAACCAACACAGCTTCACCAACCGATCCAAAAAGCCGCAATCATGGGTGACCTGCAGGGACGCAAGGTTTTCAAGGTCTTCAACCAGGACTTCATCGTCGACGAGCGCTACACCGTCACCAAGGAGCTCGGCCAGGGAGCTTACGGCATTGTTTGGTGCGTGCGACTCCTTCTCTTTTCCCCTCATCCTGCTGCTGCTGCGGCGTGCTGCTGGCCGCCGCCCGCTGCTGCTGCCCCGCCATTCCGCCCAGAAATGCTGACGACTCCTCTCCCGATGCAGCGCCGCCGTCAACAACCAGACTCAAGAAGGCGTCGCCATCAAGAAGGTCACAAATGTCTTTAGCAAGAAGATTCTCGCCAAGCGCGCATTGCGCGAGATCAAGCTGCTCCAGCACTTCAGGGGACACCGCAACGTGAGTCCTTTGAATCACGCAGAGCTGTTTCCAACAGCCCCGCGCGCCACCACCCCTCGGCTGCTGCACGACGACGCCCCAGACAAAATGCTGACAGCCTGCTTCAACAGATCACCTGCCTCTACGATATGGATATTCCTCGACCCGATAACTTCAACGAGACCTACCTGTACGAGGGTACGCTTTCTCCCGAACGCATCCGCCCGTCCGAATGCGGTAATATGCTAACTCTCGTGGTGCTCCAGAGTTGATGGAATGCGATCTCGCGGCTATCATTCGATCCGGCCAGCCTCTCACCGACGCCCACTTCCAGTCCTTCATCTACCAGATCCTCTGCGGCCTCAAGTACATCCACTCCGCCAACGTCCTCCATCGCGACCTGAAGCCCGGTAACCTGCTGGTCAACGCCGACTGCGAGCTCAAGATTTGCGACTTTGGCCTTGCGCGTGGTTTCTCCGTCGACCCCGAAGAGAATGCCGGATACATGACAGAGTACGTTGCCACCAGATGGTACCGTGCTCCCGAGATTATGTTGAGCTTCCAAAGCTACACCAAAGCTAGTATGTCATTTCTCCAGGCGGACATGTCAGCACCCTTGTGCAGCTTCTGACAAATCAACAGTTGATGTTTGGTCGGTGGGATGCATTTTGGCTGAGCTTCTCGGCGGCCGACCCTTCTTCAAGGGCCGTGACTACGTCGACCAGCTGAACCAGATCCTCCACATCCTCGGAACTCCCAACGAGGAAACACTTTCCCGCATCGGTTCGCCTCGTGCCCAGGAGTACGTCCGCAACCTGCCGTTCATGCCCAAGAAGCCTTTCCCCAGCCTGTTCCCTCAGGCCAACCCCGACGCCCTCGACCTTCTCGACCGCATGCTTGCCTTCGATCCCTCAAGCCGTATCAGTGTCGAGCAGGCTCTCGAGCACCCCTACCTTCACATCTGGCACGACGCTTCGGACGAGCCCGACTGCCCCACTACCTTTAACTTCGACTTCGAGGTTGTCGAAGATGTCGGTGAGATGCGCAAGATGATTCTCGAGGAGGTCTACCGCTTCCGTCAGCTCGTCCGTACTGTCCCTGGAGCTACCCAGGCTGGCTCCCAGGCAGCTCAGCAGGCCGCCGCTGGGCAAGTGCCCATTCCTTCTGGTCAGGCCGGCTGGACGTCCTCCGACCCCCGACCCCAGGAGTACCTTGGTCACGGCCAGGGCAACGGTCTGGAGGCCGATCTCGCCGGCGGCCTCGATGGCAGAAGGTAAACGGTTACGAAAAGATTCTGTGCGGCCCGAACGGCAAGCAGCATGCAAAATCGGTGTTGGGATTGCAGAGACTGGAGGTCGATTTTCGACGTTTTGGATGGGATGTCATTTCGCGCTCATATATTCGGAGACCTGAAACTTGGACTAGCGGTCAACGACGACATAGGCATAGGCATTGTCTTGAATGGCAGCTTTTTTGGTAGAAGAGATGTTGATGGAGGAAGACGTGGGGGACTGGATCACCCGAGGGGCTGAATGAGCACACGACAAAGAATAAGGAGGAACAAGTCCCAAATTTACCTAATTCCCTACGTCCCTGGCAGTTCGACTTTTCATATATCTGAGATGTTTTGTTTCTGACCGGCGCTTAAAGATGTCTCTCAGCTGGACATGCGCAACCAATGATTGATTGAGGTTCGCTGGCTAATTTCTTTGATCAGAGGTTTCATTGCGCGTATGCAGGTTTCAGTTGAGGTCGACTGACGGGCTTGGCTGGCGCGTCATCATCCAGTGTAGATGTCTCCGCGGAGGATGGTCCTAACTAGGGTCTGTTGAATATGGCGTGAGTGCTTGAGAAGTGTCTTCTCTTGCCGTATTTGTCGTCGTACTCATTAGGCACGGTAGGTCACCCTCGCACTTGGACTCTTCATCGCCGGTGTTGGTGTGAGACGTGTATGTATCAAGTCTGCACGATGCCCCGCAAAATGGCATCGCCGGTGACATCTCATGGGTAGATAAGTAGGATGGCG